GCCCACGGCACGTCTGCGCTGGCATTGCAAAAAAAAAGGGAAAATCAGCAAGTTTCTGTATGATAGCTTAAGGCAAGTCACTACTGAAATACAGAGGTTTGTTATTTTCAGAAGGCAAAGAGCAAAATCAAAGCATTTTAACTGCTGCATGAATTCATGGCTCCTCATCATTCCTTTTATAGAGATAATTACTCTTAAAAGCTGAAAGATGGAAACAGCAGACTCTTGAAAATTCTTCCAGTTTTTCAAATGTATTTCACATTATTCTAGTGGTAGTCTGAATTAATATATTTAGCTAGATTACCCCTTTACTAATCTTTAGCATCTTCAGCAGACAGGGGAAAACCTGCATCTTCATATTTATTTCCTCAATTCACATCACATTATGATTTTGAAATAAACTAGAAAGTCTGCATTATTACACTAGAAAAATTTCTCTTTGAAGAGGAAAGTAGCCATCAAAATATGTTGATTATTTAGATAAGCATTTGTCCCCAGGATCTTTGCAGACCCAAATTTTTTTCAAGTCCCACAAATTTAGTTTTTTCAGAAGTTTACAGCACTCAGCTTGCCCCCTCCCACTACGTCTCAAACTTGACTAGCTGGATGCAATCTATTCACTGCACACCTAAGAACCCCAGAAACAGTTTGGTCTAGCAATCCAACTAGAGAAGTACTAGCAATCACATCAAAATTAATGCAGCAATTTTTTCTGCTTTCTGGATCAAAGACTCTGCATCCTGAATACTCCATTGCCAACACAAATAATATTCTTCCTTGCAAGGTTAGCCTGTAATTTTGAAGGAATCACATTCTAAATCAAACTGATCACAGAAAAGTATAACTGCTGAAAGCTTCTTTTAAATATAATGGGATTTATTCTGGGTTGATTTTACAGCTCCTTGTGATGCCTTAAGCCCTACACCAGTGAAGCACTGCTCCAAACAGACCATCTCAATTTTACATTGCATTCTCAGCCAGCTTTATCCAAGGATGACTGCTTGCACACAGGATGGCTTTACAACCAAACTGCAGCAGGGACTCCTCCATGCATACACAAGTAAGTGATGGTATAAATACAGCAGCTATGTGCAACAGGGGAAGGGCAGATTGGAGGCTTAGCAGGAGGTGACGTTACACAGACTTAGGGTTCCCCAAGTCCCTCCTCAAGCAAAGCCATAGTTTAAACTGCTGAAAATAAACCTAGCAAATGAAAAAGTCTCAAGTGAATTTCACTTGTGGCTGAAGTGAAAAGAAACAAGCAAGTATAACAAGTTATCTGATAAATGATATTCCTGTATGATATACCTGAAATAATCCAGTTTGCAGAAGATGTCTTTATCTTTGATGTAGCAGCTGGTGTGCCTTCCCAAGGACGTTCTGCAAACGCTGCATGAGAGGCAGCGCACGTGCCAGCAGAGGTCATTCACCTGCAAAAACCCAACAAAAAACCAGCCCTCAATACCCATACTACCAATATTGCATTTTATATTTACAAACTCTGGGTTTTCCCAGAAATGATCAAATGTTATGTGCACCATGATTCACAGAAAAGTTATCTTGAATGCAAAATGTTTTCCCTATAGGACTGCACGTATATTGAAGGTAAACTAATTTGATTCAAGTCTTCAGAATAAGCTTTCATGGGTTTGTAATTAAAAGCAGTAGAAGAGGAAGCAAGAGATACAAGTTCCGTGCCGGTGTTTTGTGGCCAGTTCTGTTCTCATAGCACTAGAGTAAGAGAGCAAATTTTGGCCTTATATGACCTTAGAAAGGCAACTAACTAGCACACTTCTATTTCCTAGTCTGCACAGATTCCTGCCTAACAAAAAACAAACGTTGCAAAGTTTTTTAAAATTTTAAAACACGGGAAAAAGATCTGCCAAATAGAAATACACTATGAACCACTCCTCCATTTGCCATGTTTCTGTTAAAGCAAATTTGGTGAATGGCATCTGAGTTTCAAAACAGCAGCAGGTGTTTTAATAGCAAGTTCAATATTTCTTTAGTATGTCCATAGCAAAACTAAACATAGTCATGGAATGCAGTAGAAATCAGCATTTTTGGAAACTTACATATCATTTTGGGGCATATAAAATAAATAAAATGAGAGCAGTTATTTTAATTTCTACTTTCCTATAAAAGGAACTCTTAATTGCACAGACATTGCACATCACCTAAATAAATCATTTGACAACCCAAGACTCTCAGTGACCACAAAAATAAAGTAATAACCCTCTGGATAATCCCATACTGTAGAGGAGGAATTCTGAAAACCAAAGAATGATTATGTTTTAATTTGTTTCTCCCCACTGAGACAATTTCTCATCTCATACCAAACAGCCTATATATTCCCTATGGAAAAGCAGATTTGAGGTAATCTGGAATGTGCCTTTCATCAGAGCATGGCCAGACAAACCTCAGAGAAGGCAATGCATGGACTCCAACACCCATGCTGGGATCACCCATTTCAATCATTCTTCAGGCTGCAATATTGCCGTTTGCCCAATGCTGTCCTAACCCTTATCCTTGTCGGCAGCCACCTTCCCACATGCTGACAAGTTTACACACAATGTATGAAGCTGTTGATGGCAGTTGCTGGCTATCACCAAACTCACCCTGCGGGCAGCTCTCGGAAAGGCCGCGGAGCGGAGGGGCAGCGCTGAGCGTGCCCTGCAGCCGTGCCGGGGCTCTCCGGGTCTGCATCCAGCCCTGGCACGCAGCTCTGAGCGCCGTGAGCCCACATCCCAGCCACTCGGAGCCAGCCACCGCCTCTTCAGAGATCAATGCCCTTCCTAAGAGCGGGACACCAGCAACTCCCTGGTTGTCCCATTTAATGCCATTTGTCTGTGCTCCTGTTTGTCAGTTGACAGGGATGAAGCTGAAAGGTGTGCTGCTGCTGGACACTAGCATACCAGCATCGATTCCTCACTGCCTACACAAGAAGCAGTAACAGCTAATTTAAACCCAAGGCTAAATAATTTAGAGGTCTTTTGCTCCAAGTCCCGTTATCCTGGTTGTTCAGATAGGAGACAGCAGTGATTAGTAAACTATCAATGAGCTGCCAAAACGTCACGGGAGTTAACAGAAATCAAATTGAGTTCAAGTCAGTTTTGGTCCTTGTCCACCCGCCCAAGCTGCTGAAAGGGAGACGGGGTCACCCGAACCAGGGATGCGCGGCAGCTCCTGCACCAGCCCCATTTTAAATGGACACTAACTCCGCAGGCATTTTACTTAGACCTCCCCACCTCAACTAAGACCCAACCGGATGATTTAACAACACCACGGATGTCTTTCCAGGGGTGTTACTCCCTATCAATTTGCGACTATACAACAACTTAGTCTAAGATTGATGGAATCAACCGACTTCTGCCATGATCGTAACACTCAATTTTGAGAGGAAAGACGGCAAAACTCTGACCCAGAATAATTTTAACGGCTGTAATACGAAAAGCAAATAAACTTCCCTCCCACACCTCCTCCCGCAGTAACGCTTCATATTTAAAGCCACTTGGCTTTGTTTATTTGTTTTTAAATTATCTTACTCGGTTCTGATTGCTAAGACAACAGAACAGCTCTGCACGCACGCAGCTCGTTTCCTTCAAATATATTAGTTAACCGCCTCTTGCAGGAATAACTTATTCCATTTCTCAAGAGGCATTTTTAGCTTTGAGACTCACGCTGTTCCCCCCAGACCTATGTCAGTAAAACGCAGGTCGCGCCGCCGCCATCTGACCGAGAGAAAGCGGGAATCGCCGCGGTCGGGACCCCCCGTTCCATTCGCTTCCGCGCTTCTC